ATGTAAATGTATTTGGCTAAACTTCTAGAATGACAGCTATGTACATACATGTTATGAATGATATTGATTGCTGTGATCTTTGAAGTTTAAAGCATAATATACTGCTAAAATCGTAAAGACGTGATTCATGTATCATCCTATGAAGAATGATAAGTTGATATATGAGTATGCTTATTTCATGATGAATTGTAGGTGAAAGTTCATGTTGTGATAAGCGAAACAAGTATGCATAATGATTGTGGGGAATACAATGTGATTTTGGCATGTTTAAATCATGGTCTACTATTGATTAATTTAGTTAGATAATACATTATGTTTAATTATTGTTTTAATCGGTTAAAAGGTACTTATAAAGGTGTAAATTGATGATTTGGTCCATTTAGTATCAATACTATAATATGATATTGATATCAAATCAATAGAAGGTATCAATACTACTTGTGAGTGTCAATAATATAAGTTAATTTCAAAAAAATAATGTGTCATTTTGGTATTGATATTGTACCCATAACTTTGTATCGATACCAATTAAAGGAATTAGGAATTCATTATATCAATTTGGCATTAGTACTTTCTAAGAATATTGATATTATTCATACAATATTGATACCAACAATTGAAATTGACTAAACATCTAATTGATCCTTCAATTAAATAAGATTTATTTTATGACTTCTATGTTTGTAATATTTACATATCAATCTCTATGTTTGTAATATATATATTGATGCATAAAAGTTTCATTTTTTTGTAGATGATACATAAGTTTGATGTTAAAGAGAAGATTTAACAATTACGAAATTTCAATTTAAATTATAGATATTCATAAATAGAGTGGAAGCTTGATTAAAAAAATACACGACTCTCGCTTGACCTAATTCACTCATAATAATTATTTTTAATTTAAAAATTATTAAATATAATTTATATTAATATTGATATATTTTATAGTTAATTTAATTTTTTTCTTTTTATTCATATTGAATTTCCACAAGTACATTGTAGTCTGCTCGGCGCTAGAGGCCGAACTTTGGGGAGCACTCGAAGGACTGAATATTGCTTGGGATATAGGAGTAAGAAAGATTATCATGGAGGTTGATAATAAGGAAGTATGGAGAAGCCTGAATGGAACATCTACAGCAGTAATGGAACTAACAATAATATATGGATGTCCTTTGTTCCCATGTGTAATGGGGTAAGGGGGAGGTAAGATAGTAGGCTGCCCCCAACACTAGGTTAAGAGCAGCTTCCGTAAGAAACCTCCAAATTATGAAATGCCCTCTGTAGACACTAATTTTTTAGTTTATTTTTATTTTTATTTTTATTATTATAATTATTATTATTATTATTATTATACATTATTATTATTATTATTATTAAATAAATATTACAAAGCCCAAAATATGGCCAATTTTACAAAACTCAGATGGCCCAAACAACTAGCCCAACTAAACCTTAAACCCAATTTAGGGTTTGTATCATCTCAGCCAGCCGCCAGCTCCTTTCTACCGTCAGATCAAGACAGATCCAAGGGTCCCCAGATGTGCCAGAAGAAACCCTAGGGTATCATCACCCTAGGGACACGTCGCCGACTCTTTGGCTGCCACCATCTCGCCAACGCCAGCCGCCTCTCCACGTCGCTCTGTCGCTGCCACGCTTCAACAGAAACATCCAGTGGAAGCAAGGAACGCCGTCCACATTTCAACTATGGGGTAAGTCACCACCTACGGTTTGGTGACTCAACAAACTTCTTCTCTTTACCCATATCGAAGAGGACACTAGTGGTGGCTATAAAGCCATCACCAAACCTGCAAAGAAAAAAAGGAGACAGCCACGGAAAGCAAGAACAGACAGAGAGCTACGACAGCGAGCAAGAATGGAGAAAGCCACAACAGAAGACACAGACAACAACCATGACAGCAACCCAAGAGAAAAACAGAAAGTAAGAGAAAGAGAGAGATTTACCGAGGAGATTATTGTCATCGAGGCCTCCCTACGCTGTTAAAAAACCAAAATACCGAAGGTAACAAGCTGAGATCTAGGTCGGGTTAAGGATTTTTAGGCTAAACGGGCCTCGGTTTTAGCTTTAGGGTATTTAGGGCCTCATTTTGGTATATTTTAGAATTTTCCAGCCACCGTTAACGGTGGCCGGCAGCGGTGGTCGGAGCCCGGTAGCGGTGGCTAACCGGGACTGTGTTCTCTCATTTTAGAGAGAAACCAGAGAGAACTCTGGTTCTCTCATTTTTGAGAGAGAAGAGGAAATGAAGAAATGAGAACAATGGCCCGTAGGGCCAGCCGGTTTTGGGTTTAAATACCCTCTCCCAAACGACGCCGTTTTGGGGGAGGGTGTTTCTGTAATTTTTCTGATGGGTAAACCTTTTCCTCCACCATCCGAGTTTTGTAATTATTCATTTTAGTCACTGAAACTAATATTTTATTATGTTTTAGTCCTTACCTGTATTTTATATGTATATTAGGGTACATACCCATTTTAGTCCCTTATAATTTAATTAATATTTATCTTAATCACCTATTAATTAATTAGTTTAAATTACACTATTAGTAATTATATTTTTATAATAATTCAAAATATGCCCTTTAATTTTGATATTTTACTTTTTAGTCACCAATATTTTGTTTCTTTTCATTTTTTGACCCTGATTTTTTTTATATTTTGCAAATTAATATTATTGCTTTTTAATTTATTTTAATCATTATTTATTTATTATTTTGTTATTACTTTTATATTATTTTATTATTATTTTCATATTAGTCACATAAATATATATATTTTTAAATAATAATCTTTATATATTTTCAATATCAAAGAAAAGGGCAGTCTTAATACAACTGGATGTTCTATTCTGGTATTTTAAATAATTAAATATTATAAAAATTATAATTTAGTTTTATTTAAAATATTTTTTAGGAAAAATTATTACATTTTAATATTTATTTTTTTATTAATATTGAAGGAAATAGTTGTCTTAAAGCAACTAGAAACCCTTTTCTAATATTTTTAAATAAATAAATATCTTATTATATTAAAATAATTTTTTATTATTATTTATTTAATTTTTAATATCAAAAGAAAGAGCTGTCTTAAAGCACCTAGAAGCCCTTTTCTGATATTTCTAAATAAATAAATATGTTATTATATATATATATTTTCTTTCAATTATATTAATAAATTTGAAATAACAGGATTATAAATTAAATATACGTTTGAATTTTTTAATTTCTAATAATAGAGATAATTTATAATTAATAAGTACCAATTTTGGGCATTGTAGGGGTGCTAATCCTTCCCTAAACGTAACCGACTACGAATCCATTTTTATTTCTAAAAAGAATGAATTTTTGGTTAAACGCAGATCAATTTATCTTTTAACTGATGTTTTCTTAAAAACTCTTTTAAAAGATAATTTTTAGGTATTCGACCTACCTGACCCAAAAGGCCGATGGCGACTCCCAAAACATTTTAAAAACCATTTATTCATATTATTTTTCCCGCCGAAGCAAAAATTTCTTAACTATTGACAACTTGTACACACCCTGCAAAAGAAAAAGCTCCTCAAACTTATCGTTTCAAAAGAAAACAACACTCTCTTAAAACACTAAGGCTACTTAATGGATTTTAACACTCTGAATCTTAAACATGTCTATTTTTTTTATTAATTTGGGGTGAATACAAGGTTGTATATGTTCAAAGACTATCAATCATTTGACATTAAACACTCATACAACCTTACATACGTGATGCTCGAATCTGATACCTCAAGAAACAACGATGATTCCTTAACTATGAGGTAGCTTGGTTCGTGTGAAATGTCTAAATTATTATCTCAATAATGAACTGGGTAAACTATACCATTGATCATTTAACTATTTAACCCTTTTGCATGAATCAACTTACCTTAGTGGTTAAAAGAATTGTTGTTGTTCGTCACGGGTTCGAGTACCAACGTCTGCAAAGATGATTTAGCATTTATTATCAAATGGTTAAGAGTACTTAGAATAGGTACTACTTTATAATCACCTTTAGCTTAATCAAAAAGAAACTATTTAACCCTTTTTACTTTTTACCCTTTAAATATATTTTTATTCGTACATTTAAATATAAATTAAATCATTTATATTTTCTATATATTTTATATTTAATAAAAAATAAAATTATTAATTAAAATAAAAATACTCAATTTGAAATTATATATATATATATAATCATTAAATTATAAATATAAAAAATATTAAATTTAGCTCAACAAATATACATATTTTAAATCTAAATTTTGACTACGACATTAACTATAATATCAATACATGTATATTATTGTGTATTTTTTAACACAAATGGCGAGGGTTGCTAGTGGCTAGGGTGTGCGTCTTCCATCCTTGTGACTCAGGTTTGTGTCACCATTGAATTAGATAAAAAAATTTATTTAATGAAATAAATTAAAATTAGTAAAATAAATCTTTAAATCAGATGTGACACGTGTCACTAATGACACGGGTCATGATAATGTTTTGACAAATGTCAGATTCTAATTGAATGATTAATTTATAAACTTAAATTTAAATTAAGACTAAATTGATAGAATATATAAATATTAATGACTAAAGGTATAATTATGCCAATTCTTTTAAATACCACGTCATCAATTGTTAACGGTTATTGGAATGAAAAATAGTTTAAAAAATTAAAAAATTTGATTGATAAAATTAAAAGATCGATGATAAAAGTAAAAGATTTAAATAGTCAAGTGGTCAATTATATAGTTTACCCTAATGAATAATGATATCAACGGAAATTGATTTCAACAAAACAATTTTTAATACTTGAAAACCAATCCGGACTCTTGTCACGGGATTATTTGTGAAAAGACGAATAATTCGTCGAAAACTTACCAAAGCCCATTTTACAATACATAGTTCATTCTCTCCCAGGTATATGTAAGGACCATTTGGTTCTTAAATTCGATTCTTTTGGCAAGTTTTCAATTTGCATCTGATCTGGTTACTTTAGTGGTCAGATTTGTAAGAGAGTCCATTGATCCGTCGAGTAAATTAAGCAAAGATGGGAGGAGGAGAACATGGCGGGCATGTGCATGGATCAGAGGATTTTAGGACGAAGGTGTGGAGCATGTCAGGTGGGCCGAATTGCCGGCCCAAGCACTGGCGTCACAACACTGCGATTGCCATGTTCGGCGTTTTCCTCATCTGTATCCCCATAGCCATGAAATCCGCCGAGCTTGAGGTTCCTAAACCCCCACCTTTTCTCACTTTATTACCGTCCTTAATTGCCTTTTAGAACGTCTTTTACCCTAATTGTATGAATTGCTGACTGCTGAGTCTAGGCTTAACCCTTTGAAAATCTAAATGATTGGAATCATTCTAAAATGTTCAATGCTAATATTTCTGTTATGAATACGCTGGATCCTAATGAATTTTTTTTTTACAATTATCAGTTCTGTTAGAATCTAAATGCAGATAACTTGAAATTAGATAGAAAGTATTGGTAGAGTGAGGCCTAAAATACTATGGTTTTAGTTTGTTTTGATAGAAATGTATGGTATTTTCTTTTGGCCACAATAGAAATGTAGGTTGAAGTTTGAAAATTTTATACAAAAAAACAAAGAGTAGCAACTGATTATTCAGGCATTTAGTTGGATGTTAGCTAGCTGTATATCACTGTCCTCTAATTGTTCTTTTTTAAATTGTATGTGCGAAACAAATCCATTTCTTGGGGAGGTTTTCTCTGAATAAAACTTAGTTTTGATGTTCATAAAAATTGCTGTCAGTTTCATTATACCCAATTTGTGCAAAAAATTGCTTTTTCTAGTAGCTGCTTTCTGTGTTCATATTCCCGATTTTTCTTATTGCCCAAACTTTACCAATGTACTATTAACATAAGATTGCTGCTTCAAATTTTTACATCTCGTAAACTTTATGTTAACTTCCACCTTGGCATTTATTCCCCAATCTTGTACTGCCAACAGCCCAACACATCAATGCTAGAAGCTCAATTGTCCATATGACTTCCTCCAAAGATAATCAATTTTTCATGTACTATATGTTACATTGCCACTTCAAACAATGATACAAGTTAATATGCCCATTTCTTTTATTCCTTTTGTATGTACTTCTTATCTCCTTAAGTAGCTGCAGTTTCATCATAACCCATCAATGCTGTGCAAAATTCTAACTTTCTAGTAGCTGCTACCTTTGCACTTAATCCTTGTTGAATAGCAGTCTAATTTATTGTCAATTCACTTAATCCCAATTTAATATCAGTCTTTCAATGTTTACTGGTTTTTGTAATAATTGAAGCTTTCAGCTTCTTATTTTCTATCTTATAAACTCAAAGTTGAGTTCCTCTAGGCTCCATGGCATTCGCTTCCTAATCTTTTTCTGGCTATATGATGATGTTAGAAGGTCAACAGTCCATATACCTTCCTTCCTAGATGGTGAATTAATATTTACTTGGGTGCATTTTTTCATAGATAAAAACTCTTGAATTTTTTTCCTAGAAAATACGAATATTGTTGATTTTCTGATGTTTGGATCACTAAATGTAAAATGTTTTCCATTGGCTATTTTCTGTTGACTAAGCTATTTTCCATGAAACAAATACATGAAAATATGAAGGAAAAAAAAATCTGAAAGTCATTTTCAGTGAAACAAATGCACCCTTATTGTAAAATTGTCAATTCATCAAATGATTGAATTTAATATCCACATTTTTATTGCTTCACATGCACGTCTTATCTTCTTAAGCACTTGTAATTCCAATCGGTTGAACTAATATATTGGAAACAAATTGTTGCTTAGTATTATGAAGGTGTGCGCCTAGGCACCCTTGTTCCTTAGAATTATTCAACAAAGAAGCCTAACTCCCTTTCAGGCTAGGTCCATTTGATTAGGCAGACGCCTAAGCACGCTTTTTTGTAAGGTGATAGGCACAAAAGAACCTTGTCTAATTGAACTTCTCTTTAATTTTTTTTCCATGTTCTATACCTTGTAAGAAAAGTATAATATCAAACTCTATACTTTGTAATGTTTGAGCATTAAAATGCCCAATACAAATTATATATTTTGTAGATAAACTAGACTCCACTTTAAAGTTTTACCATATATCTTAAGCTTTTACACATACTACAAAAACTCACATATATACATATTGGGCCTACATTCAGGCTAGAAATTTTGTTTTGCTCCTTGCGCATGAGGCAATAGAAGGGTTCTAGTTCCTAGAGTGCGCCTTGTGCCATTGATAATATCTAATTCCAGGTTACTCAATATTAGAACCGAGATCATAACTTAGTGACTCAATCTATTAACTTCCAAAATTTGTACGTCATTTATCAGTTAGCTTATATTAGAATGGTATTTTTTTAGCTAAAAGATTATTTCTTGCAGCAACGACCTCATCAGCCTGTTCGACCAATTCCTTCACAGCTCTGGTGCAATAACTTTGGAAAAAAAAGACTATTATGTCCACCTGCCCTTGTTGAAGAAGTATAAATGTTGGTTCAAAGCAACATATGGGCGGCAGTTTAACAAACATGCAATTGTTTATTGCAGTGGATTTGGTAAAATTTCTTATGATTTGAATATGAGATTTCGATTTTTTTATGTCGGAAAAAAACAATTTGAGATTTTGGTTTAGCTTCCTATATGATCAGTAAGTTGGGATTGTTACTTTCTAATGTGGATATGAAGAAAAACAATAGTAATAAAAAGAAACAAGACTGAACAAACGAATAGGAAAGAAGATGGCATTCAAGGAAAAACAAAGGTTAAGGGAAACCTCTAGTTTTCTTTTAATTCAAAGAAAATAATAATGAAAATTGTGACAGTAATATTTTTATAATTTAAGCTCTATATCAATGGAAATATCAAATTTATCTAGTTGTGTAAATGAACAAAGCGTTTAGTGAACTGTTCATGAGCCGCTTGTTTGTTAAGTTAAATAAACGAGATGTTCATTTAATAAATGAACGAACAATTGTATGTTCATTTCATTTATATTAACGAACAAACCTCTTTTATTGACTCGTTTATTTATGTCCATGAACAAGTTCGTTTATAAACTAGTTTAATGGCTCGCTTACTTTTTTATTTTTTTTTATATTTTAAATTTTGGTAAATATAGGGATTAAATTAAACATATGGTGAAATTTGGAGTTTAAAGATTGTATTTTGTTGTTGGTGTGGATATTATATAAGATTTATTTAGGTGGTTTTGTTTAACTTCTGAATATATAAACGAATAAGTTTGTGAGCGTTTAATGAACATGTTCGTGAACATATAAATGAACGTTAAACAAACATGTTAGCGAACGATAAACGAATATATTCTTGAATGTTAAACGAGCATGTTTGTGAATATTAAATGAACGAATATAATTACTTTTAAAAATAAATAAATAAATATAAATACGATATTAAAAATTTAAGGGAACACGAATAGAAATGACACTCGATATCTGACTGGCTGCAGAAGGCGCAGAGAAAAGCCTAATGAAAATGATCCATTACTAATTAGTAAATTATCCTCAACTAATTAGTAAATTATCCTCAAATTACAGCCCCTGAGGATATATATAGAAAAGCCGTCTATTTTTTTTTTCTTCTACATTGTCAATTAATAGTTTAATAAAGATATGCTTGGTTAAACTTTCCATGTTTAATGTAAAAATAGGTGTTCAAATCATACTTAAAGTTAATTTGAGGTGTCTTAAAGAATTTTTCATTAAGAATAAGTGTCTAATATTTCTTCGTTAAACTTTTAGGTGTCTAAGGTTAAAAATAATGTTATCTGACACATATCAGGCATATAAAATCTTATTTTAAGAAAAAACACTTAAAATTAAAATTTCTTTTAAAAAACCCTAATTTTTTTTAAAATTATAAAAAACTCAACATCCCGAAAAATCTTAATTTCAATCACTTACCCATAGTATCAAATAGCGTTCGCGGTCACATTTTCGGTCGTGTCGCGTTTATAGCGGTTACGGACATAACGGATGTCATTGCGTTCACTGCGGGTGTCGCGGCCGTGAATTTTTTTAAAATTTTGCACATATTATCTTAAAACATAATAAAAATAATTATAATTATAAGGAACTAACCCCTTAATTTATCTATTTTCAATTAAAAAGGAAATTAACCCCTTAATTTGCATTAAGACAATTATTTCTTATTTTTTAATCGAAACAATGAAATATTGTCATTCACTAAAAATTTAGAAAACTAAACAATTATTGAACCCTAAAAAGAAAACTAAGGGTTGGCCAATTAGTTAATTTATTATTAAAAAAGAATAAAGATATTCATTGACATTAATCAAGCAATGTATCCTTAGCAATTTAAACGTAAGAACAAACTTTTACCCTTTTGTTCTTAATATGAACCTATTTTATTTTTTTGGCGACCATAGGTAGGATATTTGGTTATTTAAAAATTATTGAAAAATGAATATCTAGTTATCTTAAGGCCATCCTTTTCAATATCATAAAATAAATAAACATTCTATTTTAATCAAATTATGAATTTAATTAAACAACCTTAAGCTAATGCCCTAATTAACAATTAGTAACTATTTTTAAAATAACTAAAATATAAAGTTTTAATTAAAATGTCTAGGGTTTGATTTTAGTGACTAAATTAAGAAATTAAAAACCTAAAGGCTTTAGTCTATAATTAAACACATGACTAAATTGAAAGATTTTAAAACTAAAATTCAGAATTAATAACAAAATACATTTAATAAAATAAAAGAAACAATCAAAATGATATTCGGTACTAAATTGCATTGAATTCAGAATTCATGCAATGATTTACAAACATCTAGTGACCAAAATAAAATAAATGAAAAGACACATAACAAAACAAAAAACAAAAAAACCTTGAAGTAGGGGTTTTAATGAGCCAATTTTCCCAAAAATTCATCTAGTATAAAAGTTAAAATTTTTAGACATTTTGTTCAAAAAAATTTTATCTCCTCCTCTCAAAACACCCTACCTGACCGGCCCCTTTCTCCCAAATTTAACCAAATGTTCATCCCATGTTCTTCCCAAATTCATCTTAAAGACCAAGTTAGATCTTCCACAAACACCAAAATACCATCCAAACTTGCTTTTCAAGATCAAAACTCATAACTTTCTCAAGAACATCAACATGTTCTTTCCCTAATCCCAACTTTGATTCATAACAACACTAAATCCTCAACCATCTTTTACTATTTCGAATCAAAACTTATGTTTCTTCACATCCTCCTTTTTCCCTAAACCAAGAACCCAAGAACACCTCCCTAAAAATAAGAACCCCTAAAGTGTTCTTCATTCTTAAACTAAAAAACCTTGGTCCATAAGAACCAAACCCAACTTCACCTCCTTAGGCTACCCAAACCCTGAAGCCGAATAAAACGACCAACCAAACTATCAACTCCGACCACCGAGTCCTCGCTGCCTGCGATCTCTCAACTTGAAAATCGGTTTTTATTTTTGCAGATGGTTGATTTTTGTTTTTGTCTTGGAATCACGGTTGGAATAATAATTGTTGCATCCCGTTATTGGAGCAACCGACCGTTTCCCATTAAATTACGGGTGCGACATTTCGAGATTGGTGTGAATCCGTGACCCACCATAAAATTCATGAAAACATGTTTCGAACGGCGGCGCTACCACAATATCACGGCCGTTATCACATTTTCGGACCGAAATTTGATACCCTTCCCTTACCCACCGTCGGTCGCTACCAACGACGCCAATCGACCAAAAACCTTACAGCTTGCGATTGCCTAAACCTCCATCAGTTGAAAGCCCATGCTTCAGGCGATGATAGCAACGAAAAATCAATGATTGCAGCGTGGAGAATCCCCTTCAGTCAATCACAAAATCTTGTATTTACGTGATTGTTGAGTGTTCGGTCGATCGTGAAAATAAAGATTTTGACCATTAGGTAATTTTTCGGTCGAGCAAAGTTGGGTGTTCGGCCGATTGACAACATTGGTGGCAGCCTACGATGTTAAGGAATTAAAATTAGGGTTTTAAGAGATTTTGTGCATTTTTTGGGCAATTTTATAAAATTTTGGTTTTTTTTAAATAAATTATAATTTTAAATTTTCCGTCAGGTATGCGGTTGTCAAAGGCGCGAACATGGGGATTGAACTGGCAAAATATAAGCAGGAATCCAGATTAACTAAACCATAGTTTCTCGAATTTATGACATTATATACCGAGTGAACAGCACAGTGGAATTTCTGCATCAACTGTGTTTGCCCTGGTTTTGTCAAAATCGATATAAATAACAATACCGGTCACTTAACTCCTGAGGAAAGCGCAATGATTCCGGTTAAGTTAGCACTTTGGGCGAATGGCTATGTCCCTTCCGGAAAAGTGAATGAAAGCATCGCTGAAATTGAAGAATGTCAAGAAGAAGAGAAAAAAATCTTATGCTGCCATGGTCATCGGCTCGTTCAAAGCTAAGGCCTAAGGGGTACTCATGCACGATACCAATAGAGGAGGATTTCGAACTGGCAGACGAATATTACTGTAACCCCCCAATTTAGAGGCTAAAATTAAGAAATTATAAAATGGTGGATTTAATTTGGTATTTTGAAAGAAACAGTGGGTTAAATTACAAAATTTTAAAGTTGGCAGACCGTTTTATGAAGTGCAGGAAGTTCAATGGCTAAACTCTTGGTTTAACCATTTTTAATTATGAGATGATATAAACCCCCAATTTCCCGTATGTTTCTAGAAATATTTCCAGTTTTCCCTCTCCCATAAACCCCTCTTTCAACTCTGATCTACTCACCGTCCGACCTCCGATCGACAAGCCAAAACCACCATCGTGTTTGTTATCGAGCGAGGAACAAAACCCCTCAAAGCTTTTGTCGTGAATCGTCGCCATTCGTCGTTAATTTCAGTCGGAAGTATCGTCGGTAATAACTCAATTTCAATTGGTTTTTCGTCGATTCACGACAATCTGAGCATCCGTTTATGACACCTCCCGCACCATCGTGTTCCTTGCATCATTCCGAGTCTACCGGTGTCATCCTTGGTCTCCGTCGACGGCGGCGCGTGAGGAGGTAAAGCGGTCAAAGTTTCCGATTTGTTGAAATCGAGCTCTCCGTCGTTCAAAATTGTGAACCGAGCTTTGTAAGTATCCCGAAATCGCTCAAAATAATTTTTAGAAATTTTTCCGGGAATTTAGCACTGTTCACGCGCCGCCACTGCGCGTGGGGAAGGAAAAAGTGACCGGTTTGACCGGTCAACACCCCACCCGACCTGTTGACCCGACCCGTTGACCCGACCCAATCTGTTGACCCAACCCGCTGACCGTTGACCGACGTTAACCACAGTTGACCAAAACTTTGACCGGGCATTAAACGACCTTTGACTTTGACCGAGTATACCTATCCTGACATTTTTCGACGTTCGAAATCCGATTCTGTAGTCCGTTTTTCGAAATTCAGACCCGAAGGCCTCGAAATTGCCGGTCAAACCCGTTGACTGGATTTTGACCGAAAATTCCAAATTTTTGAAAAGTCATATTTTATGCTTTCGACGTCCTGAATCCGAAGTCCGTTTCGCCAAATTCGAACCCGGTAA